GCGATGAATTTTACGCAAGAGGTAAAAAAAGTGACCTAGACAGAGCAATTTATGAGGGAAAAATGCACATTTTGAGATCTAAAAGTAACAAAATGAAAACCGGTTCCTGTTTAAATGCATTTTTGTTCGCACACTATCTCACGTACACTTGCACCTCGACATGATAACCCCCAATACATGTGTACACATATATACATAGAGCTGTGCGCCCCCACAATTTATAATGCATCATTTCTGTATATGCCAAGAATAAAATCTTTCTAAATAAAATACGTTTCTGCGAAGGAGGGGCTGTTAGAGGGAATGTGGTGGGAGGGAGGGAGAGATGGATGTGGGCTGGGTTTTATCAGAAAGGGAAAGAGGAAGAGAGAAGGAGGGAAGGAAGGGGGAAAACGGCGACGCTGTCCTCTATTGTGTGCTGGTCCCTTATAGGGTCATCGCCATCCCAAGCTGTGGCAGAATCTACGTTCCTCGTCCACAGTTCGTTTAGAGCAGGAAATAATAAAGAGATGTCTGTAAATCCACAATGGTGCCAGACGGTACAAATGGAAACACACTTGGAGCTCAAAGGGGCTCCGGTTCACGCTCAGATGTCGAGTGATCCGGGAAAATGCGGCTGAGTCCAGTGGAACAGAAAAGAATGGGATGATGGGATAGAAGCAAGCGAGAGAAAGGTGGTGTTATAAAGGTGGAATGGAGCTGAGAAAGAAAAGAGGTAGAGGAAAAACAAAAGACCAAGAGAGTATGAATGGAGATGAGAGGAGCGCATGAATCCATCTGGCAGTGAAGTCTGATGCAGCTGCTCATCCACTGGCTGGAGGATGACAACGGGAATGAGGGATGATGAGAAGACGAGTGCAGTTCCTCTCTCTCTCTCTCTCTCCGGTGGGTGGGAACGGAGGGATGGTGGGAACTTGTGCTGGTCGCAGCAGCATCATACCTCCAGGAAGCGGGAGCTGCTGGACTTGGTGTGGAAGGGCTCGGACCACATGCGCCGCAGGTCCCCCTAAAAGACATGGACAGAATTACCACCGGTTCACACCAAGAGCGAATCAAGTGATTAATACACATTCACATATTTATAAGCTTATCTCTTGATGGCCAATGAGTCTTTTATTAAATATATATTTTTTTAATAATGATAATAAACAGCAGTAATAAAAATGCCTATAAATGACTAAAAATAATAATTATATTAGTTTACAACATTAAATTAAATTGTTGTTAACATGGAACCTGCAAGTAGTAATAATAGTAGTAGTAGTAATAATAATAATAATAATAATAATAGTAGTAGTAGTAGTAGTAGTAGTAGTATACAACATTTTAATATTTAATTTAATGTTGGCAAGATGAAACCCGCAAATGAGAGTAATAATAATAATAAAATAATAATAATAGTAGTAGTAATGTTGGTAACATGGAACCCTCAAAAATGAGTAATAACAACAACAATAACAACAACAACAACGTATTTTTGTTACTATTATTAAATATTATTTTATCCTATTTTTACTTTTCAATTTTTTTCTTATACTTTTTTCATTGCATTTAATTTCTTTTGCATAATCTACATTGTTATTTACATGTTTTGTGCATGAAAATAAAATATGGACCCATTCAAAAATGAAATAGGTCAACACACACACACACAGGTTTGCTATCCTTGTGGGGAATCTCCACAGGCGTAATGGCATTTATACTGTACCAACTGTATTTTCTATTGCCCTACACCTAAACCTACCCCTTACAGGAAACGTTGTGCATTTTTAGATTTTCAAAAAACTTAATTCTGTATGATTTACAAGCTTGTTTCCCCATGGGGACCTCAATTTAATTCCCCACAGTGACGCAAGTCCCCATGAGTCTGTGTCTCCATGAGTATATATAAATAAACATTTTTTGTTTAATGGGTCCATTTTTTATGCACAAAAAATGTAAATAAAACAAACTTAATACAGGCTACTGTAATTCATTTTTTAAATTAAAGTAAAAACAATATTTGGAAGAAAAAAATAGAGTAGGTCAGTAATTAGTTTTAATGCACACACTCACAAATTATTTGAATACAACTAAATAGATTTATGAAATGAAAATTTATAAGAAAGAATAATATTGTTCAAGTACAAATAGAATAAAAATCTAATAAAAGTTGTTACTTTTTTTATTTTATCTTCCTTAGAAATATATAGTAGATAATACATTCCAATTAATAATATATTATAAATAAGTGAATAAAAAAATAATTTCCCATCTACTATATCTGGTCTGAAATGTGTTTGATAAGATGAATAAAGTGCATTGTTTAATTATTCTGTCTATGTGAACAGACTGATGCATGTGATAAAAACACAATGTCCCAGCGTCCATCATTCCTGCACATTCATTTGATCCATTAGCAGAGCATTAAACTACACAATATCAGAGCTCACAAATATGAGATACAGTTAGGGATTATTACAGTAAATGTCATTACAGGAAGTTACAGAGAACTGTGACATTTCACTCAGCACACTTTCATGTGTCACAGAGGTTAGTTAGTTAGATAGTTACAAGTAGTGGTTCAACGGATCACAAATCTCACGGTTCGGATCACATTACGGTTTTTGGCCCACGGATCGGATCTTTTTTCGGATCAGCAAGAAAAGAAATATTTCAATTTAACTTGATTTCCATTTATTACTTAAAGCGAAGTATTTCTTTGATACCACAGCAAATACTACTAGATTAACTAAGAAAGTTTAAACATGATTAAAGAGACAAGAGAACAGCCAGTAAAAATAAGAACAAATACACAAATTACAAGCATAGATAAATACAACAGAATATGTTACAAATAAAATAAGGTTGGTAGTATTCAAATACAGAAATGTAATAATTAGGGAAAATAACACTGCATAGTGTTCACTGTATAAATTAAATATAGATTTTTATCACAGCTGTTTTGTTGTTTGGTGATCATTAATGACAGCAGCAGTATTTATAGGCCGCTGTCCCTTTAAGACCTGATGCACGGATCCGATATAATGATACACATCACATCCGATTTCTTTCTCAGCTGTTTTCATTCACTTGTGAGACATAACTGACGGTTTACCTGAATGATTGTCGAGATGGGTATTTTGTCATAATTTTATGTGTATGTGTCTGTTCAGAGGATTCAGAAGAGGATTCAGTTCGGTGTTCGCGCTTCATGTGTGTGCGGCTGTGCGCGTAGAGAAGAGCGTGCGAGTAACGAATCGAGTTCCCTTTCGCCTTTTCTCTCTGTAATCGTTTAAAATTCGCTTGCTTGTGTAAATACGAACAAATGATAAACTTATACTCTATTATGGTTAAATTTTGCAATTAATCATATGTGTGCCGAACCGTGGGGCTTGGTCTGTATGGATCACGGATCAACTACGATCCGTTTAACCACTAGTTACAAGAGGCTTGTGCAAACAAGTATTTATGCATCAATACTGTTCTTCTATAAAACAATGCAAACCTGTGTAGATCTGTGCGGATATAATTACGTCCTCATCTTGTTAACACCCATTCACACTTTTTGTTTGCCAACAAGCACAAATCTTTATTTTGCCTCACCTTCTTTACTGGGTTGGCACAACCATTGAGATTGTTATTAACAGTCATAAATGGTTCAATGTAACGTTAAATTGTGCAGAAGTGCTGACGAAAACGGCAAAACGTGTGGCTGTGTTTACGTCATCTATGATTACGTCTGTTCAATCCATGAAGGTCACACCCATCCACACACACACACCTCACGACCAAACCATTCAACCAACAACAAAAGACCTTATTTATACTTTCATATTACAACTACACCAACCAGAATACAGGTCAACACAATTTAAACCACACATCTACATGGAAAAACATGGAAAAAAATTGTGGGAGCTTCATGTTTCAAAATATGGGTTTGGGATTTCATTTGCCAATCCTAATTTGCTTTTCCCTGCTTTATTTTTAGGCACAAACAATGTGCTTTAACAGATTTTAAAACACATCTTGTTGATGGTTATTTCAACCACTCTCTCCGAAAACTGTACGCCTTCTATTCGGCTGGTGGATCAACATTCACCACATGATCGCTATCACCAGCACCATTATTTGTAACTTTAGGTGGTTCACAAAAGAAATCTGTCAGTGTTTCTTTTTTTCTTTTTTCTCTTCTTCAGCCCCTTACATTCCCCGCGGTAGTTAGCTCCCTGTCACCTGACAGCGGAAGTGACTGGGTGATTGACAGCTAATATTAACCAATCTAAAATCTGCATTAAAGTTAATGTAAAGATGAAGTTTAATTGCTTATGTAGCCTAACGTTTCATAGAACGGCAGACAGGTCACCGTATCAACACTCAGAAGGCACATACTCTGAACGTTTTTAGAGAAACGAAAACACCTCGCACGACAACAATTATATGCACTCGCACAAATGCTCCCAAACATATTTTGAGGTCGCACAGATTAAATTTCGGGAGCATATGCAACCAAAATGGTCGCAATTTCAAGCCTTGATAGATAGATGGATAGATGAAACGACAGACAGATTGAAAGAACAACAGATAGATGGATAAATGGAACGATAGATCAAAAGAACAATAGACAGGCAGATAAATGGAACAACAGACAGATCGAAAGAACGATAGATAGACGGATAGATGGAACGACAGACAGATTGAAAGAACAACAGATAGATGGATAAATGGAACGACAGATCAAAAGAACAATAGACAGGCAGATAAATGGAACAACAGACAGATCGAAAGAACGATTGATAGACGGATAGATGGAACGACAGACAGATTGAAAGAACAACAGATAGACGGATAGATGAAATAACAAACAGATCGAAAGAATGATAGATAGAAGGATAGATCGAACGATAGACAGATCGAAAGAACGACAGATAGATGTATAGATGGAACAACAGAAAGACAGACCAACTGATCGACAGAAAATGTAATACTGCCGTAAATCTTAACCACAAACCACCGTCTTAAATGGCAGAGTTTATTCGGATGATACTGCTGCGATACGCACCAACAAAGTAACCAATCAGGGTGCAGTGGAAGTAGGAAACCCGCTGCATGCGGCCAGACATGTTGACAGCACCGGGCACTTCTCCATTGGCCTGTTTCTTATAGTTGTCGTATCGGAGCACGAAGCACAGCAACAGGCCCGGCATGACGATATCACCGATGCCCAGCATGGAGAAGTGGCTGCCGGTGGAGCTGGGGAACACCAGCTTTCCGGGCAGGGAGAGGCGGGGGCCATCCCGGCCCAGATGCAGCTTGCGTGAGAGCACGTCGAGGGGGTTGTCGGCAGGCTGCGTGGCCACCTTCACCATCACGTTGCTGTTGAAGATGTAAGCGGAGAAGAAGACCTGCAGGAGATGAGGGAGATGAGTCAGAGGACAGACCAGCTTGCCCTGCTGTTTTAAGACACCGAGAGAGAGCGATGTCAGGCTTGTGCAAGCGTGTTTGGAGTGATTTGAGACACTGACGAAAATGTCTCGACAGTCAGCATGGGGGTGGGATGGGGAACACGTTTCCGAGTTGCAATTAAAATTATTTGATGTGATCTAGTGAACTGGCAACCAAAGTGTTAAATCGTGAATTGAATCGAATCGTGAGTTGAGTGAATCGTTACATCCCTAGTCACAGGTTTGCTTTCGAATCCAAATTTAACCCAGACTGCTCCAGGTGCATTAGTCTACAAAATAAAGCATCTGTTAAATGACTACTCACAAGCAAATAAAGAAACAGCCTTTACAGGATTCCTTGAATACTTCTGAAACAATTTCATGAGCTGCAATTACATGTTTTATGGCACCAGCTGGGGGAGTGGCATGGCAGTATATGATGACAACGATAGATTGGATAGATAGGAAGAACTTTTTACCAAGCAAAGCTTTGAATTCCTATAAAGCACCACTCTGAAAGCAATAAAGACTATGATGATGTAGGGCTGCACGATTAATTGAAATCAAACTAAAATAAATCGCAATATGGCTTGAAGAATTTAAGACATTAATAATTTCTAATTATTATATTATTTTATAGCACCGGTTCTCAACTCTGGCCCTCAAGGTCCACTTTCTTGCAAAGTTTAGCTCCAACCCTGATCAAACACCTGCCGGTAACTTTCTCGCGATCCTGAAGGCCTTGATGAGCTTGTTCAGGTGTGTTTGATTAGGCTTAGAGCTAAACTCTGCAGGAAAGTGGACCTCGAGGGCCAGACCTGAGAACCCCTGATTTATAGCAATCTTGATATATAATCACAAAATTCTAAAGTGTTTTAAAGATTTGTATCAGAGATAAAAAATAAAAAATAAAATTAAAATTCATATTTCCCCCCCAAAACTGTGTAGCCCTATGACGGTGTGTATATTTCACAACAAATTTAGTGTCAGGACTATCCAATTCATAATATTAGTTTTAGCATTTTGGTTCTCTCTTTTTTTTTTTATTAAACTTACCTATGCCAGGTTTGTTCATGAATAATTATATTGTTTGGTTTGAATAGAATTAGTTCCAAATAAAAAATAGGGAATTAAATAACTAAATAAATATTTGTAACTTGAGATATTTACTGGATTACACAGAATATAAAATATAAAAAATATTTTAATTAAAATAATAATAGCTATAATAATAATTTTATCTAAAAATCAGCCATTACCAATATATTTTTTTCCACCGAATTAAAAAAATATATATGTAAGCCCAAATGATATGTTTACAAAACTAATTTCAAGCACATAAAGTTGCCATGAAGCTAAAGTAGTGACGGTAGTAGTGAAGTGGTGATCTTCTGTATTATGACAGTATTAATTTTGTCAGCCATTTTTAATTTAGTTTTAGTCCTGTGTCAAATGTACTTTTTAGTGATCATATTTAGTCAACCTTGTTCTGTTTTTATTTGGTCAAGTTTTAGTCGACTAAATGTCTGAGCATTTTAGTCTAGTTTTATGGTTAAACTGATAAATTATTTTTGCTCAATTATAATCGCAATGAAATTATAATCGCACATTTCAGGTATTGCACATTCACCGATTAGCACAAATCAATAGAATGTGAATTCATACAGATGTTTATTTGACCTCATCTGTTGTTCTGATTTATTATAGGCTAGTTACTATAATAAATTAACATCAAAGACTTAGTTATGCACTCTCACTGTCTACATTATGAAAACAACCAAAAACCATAAAAGTGATCCTAATAGGTAATTCCTAATAGTAATTCCAATAATTCCAAAAAGCAATAATGTTTCTCTATTAAAAAAACAGCCGTATAAACAAAAATTAAAATAGGAAAAATATGCAACATGAAAATAATTGAAGACAAAATGTGTTTTACTGAGAATTTTTTACTGAATATTTTGTCTATTTCGTCGAAAACAAACAATTTTGGTATAGTTTTTTTATTTTTATTTTATACATTTTAGTGTTGTCTTTTATTGTCAATGATATTGCAGGTTGATATAGTCAGTTATAGTCTTTTATTGACCTTATTGTCATCTCGTTTTAGTCATGGGAAAAAAAGCTCAAAACATAAAAAAACACAAAAAGAAAAAAAAAATGCACAGGTGAATTGTTCTAAACCTTAGTTAGTACTGGTAGTGTATAAACGGTTACTGTGCCATTAAATCACACATGGTGTGATATGAAGACTTGACTCCCATCCCTAGGAAGCAGTATGACTTGCTGCATTAATTGCTTACCCAGAACACGTCATAGATGAGGAGGCCGGACAGCAGCAGGCACGACACCTTGAGACTAGGCAGTCGCACAAATGCGATCATGGCCACACAGAGACCCATGGCAAGAGCTGCAGGAGATAAAAACACACGATTCAGAGAAAAACACCACCACAACATGAGGTATGAGGTAAAGCAGAGGATGTGTTTACATTCTCTTCCTACACACAAACACCGAGTAACAGCATGCTGACGCACCGTCCATGAGCAGCCAGTGGCCCGTCATCACCCAGATGAGAACCAGCATGACAGAGAGGGAAAACGACAGCAGCTCCGCCAACGTGAAGCGGCCACAGCAGCCGAACGAGATCCTGGAGACAAGAGACACGCTGGCTCACATGCTGAATACACTAGCAAACACGTCACTCGGCTGAGACATCAGGCTCTCTTTTTCACACCCCAGCATCTGATCTCTAACACTGTTGTCCATTAATACACAAGAGGATTGTTCCAAAGCAAACTGAACTGATTCTAGATTACATTGTGAGATTGAGTGAATCCGCAAGGCAAATCCCTGCCAACAAACAGGTTCATTGTCGGTGTCAAAAAGGTTATTTTAAAAGCCAATTTTGGAAGATTCTGAGCATTCTATCAGCCAATGAATATCTTTTAAGTGTTAATTGAGCCAAAAAGCTATGTAAATAAATTTTTATATACACTGGGGTCCATATGTCTGAAACCACATAACGATTTTTTTTTTCCCATTTACACCATCTGGAAATAAAAAGTTTAGGATCTAAAATTTGGATGTAAATTTATGATTAAAATATTTCAGATTTTTGCTATTTCTAGGTCACTATTCAAACAAAAAAACAAAAATTTGTGACATTAACTGTGTCCTAGGGCTGTCAAAATGGCTGAAAAACTAAATTCGAATTTTTTACTTAAATATTATCAATATTCGAATTATATTCAAATTTAAAAGGCATAATTTCAGTTGGGGGGAAAAAAGCTGTTGGCTTCTCTCCTGAGGCCACAAGAGGGCGCATCCAGCAAAATATTATTAATAATACATATATAATTAATAAAGTTGCTTAAACAATTATATGTATAGTTTAATACAAAAGACCGAAAACCAATCACAAAGAGAACTTTCTTCATTTAAAAACTTGAGATGCAGTGGGATGGGGAAAACCGCCATAAAGTCTTGAGACATGTTTTTTAAAATTTGAACTTACATTAATTTTACATAGCTTTCTAAACATGCGGCTCTCTTGTGCGAGACG